ATAAGCAGGCAGACGTGCAGATCTTATATAGTGTGGATAGGGAACGTATAGGCCGGCTACCATCAGAGAGTGACAACTGTTTACTCAACCGTCTGAAGACAGCAGTATCGTTCATTGTTATGTCCAAATGTCATCCAAAAAGAATTACAGTAGGATTTCTCAGTAACAAACGATTGCTCCATTCGGTCGTTGCTGATATCGATTTTTTGGACCAACGAATCTAGCAGAAGGGTGTGCAGAGCGTTACTTCCGGCGGGTGCGGCAAAATAAATGTTGCAAGTGGGGTGACGTACGCAACACTCTCACCAAGATCCAATCCATTCAACGTAGCAGTGGTGCGCGCTGTAGCGGAACTTTCTGCGCCTGTGCCCTCAAGTCGACTATGTTTCTCCACACCTGTCGCTGGCCTGCTGGGAAACTGCCTAGCTGGGAAAGAAACGAGCGTGCGACGTCGCGACTCGGGAGTGAAGCACCATCTCCTTGCTCAGTGAGCTCAAAATCTGCTGTTTGAGGGGCAGCAGGGCGGGGGGTGTGACGTACTAAAATACGGTATTTATCGTAATTATGCGCAGCGAAATTCGTTTGCTCCCTGTGATCACCGACCACTCTAGCCTGCGCTCTCTCGTAATAAATTCCAACCTTCGACGCTTATGGAGCTGATACCGTGAAGACTTACTTCCTCGAGAATTCATCCTCAGGCTCACCATGTTTCACGTTTCGATGCTCTGACCCCCGATATCCACTGCCCACCAGACCATATATCGCACTTGTCGCACGATATTTACCGTCTTCGAGACGAACGTGGAAAGCAGGAAATTTCTATGTCACACTGTCACTAAAGTATAAGATTTGGATTTTTTTCTGGCTCTGACCCATGGAGAAAATGCAACTTTCAACTTAGTTTAATATTGCAAATAGTATAAAACTCGAAATAGCATTGTTAGTGATCCACTAGTTCACGACGCACATTCGTGAATTGTTTCAGCACTCGGAACCATCACTTGCAGTGCCTACAACGGAAGCTCATCGAAAAATTGCACACAGGCAGCTGAAGAATAGAAGCAAGACGTGTACAATTGTATAAAGTAGGGTCGATATCGTTATTTTCTGACCGAAATTAAACCGAAATAAGAGTGCTACGCTGGCGAAAATTGGGATTTTCTGTGACGCTACAACGCATGCGGTCCTATGAATTTGAACTCACAAGTCAAGAATCTCTCTTGTATTGGTCGACGGGCTATGGTCTCTCTGTTTCGTTAGTCCACAGCTAATTATCATCTTGCTGCGAATTAATGCAGCAGTGTGTGTTATGTCTTGATTTACTGTTTCCATGTACACTGTTCGGTATCTTGTAACGAGTATTTAATATAGTAGCAAATCTTTTTGACTTCGCCTTTTTTACCACAGCTGTATTGCTGAGGTCGTTCCAATAACCGCAGTTCTGCATGCATCTATGCGATAGA